TTCCATTATTACTATTATTATTATTATTATTATTACTATTACTATTATTGCTATTGTGCGTGTGTGGGTATGCGTGTGTTTATTGCACATGATGTGATACTGTTGTTTTGGTTATTGCATGATTACTTGTTTTGCCTCAACACCTCTGTGTGTGCACGTTAGTGCCTTCCATTCATCTTGTAGCATTTTATTTTGCAGCACATGGAATACGAGCCTGCTTCCATGGAAGCACACAGCGTGACACGCTGACCCTCCGCCTCACCGGTTTTGCGGTTGTTCCGTAGAGGTGCGACTTCGGACTGTGGCACATGCGTTTATACATGTAGAAACGGAAAAGTCCAATACGGGCCGTAAGTTATCCCAGATTTGGGGAGAGGCATTGCCGACGGCAGTGTTTGTGGGGACAAGGGCGTCTATACACTTTCCGCGTGACGGTGGGAGAGGCGTTTTTTGCACAGCTTGCAGCCGACGGTTTCTGCCGTCGTTTTTATTGTTGTTTTTGTTGTTGCGTATGGGACTCCTTGTGCCTTATGCAGTTTGCGTTGCTTGGAGAGGAGGGAAGCAGCGACTGTTTTTTCCGGCGGTTTTTTTTTTTGCCGTCGTGGCGCAAAGGGGAAGAAGAGAATGAGAGAAGAGGGACTCATAACCTTCCGCAAGCAGGCAGTCATGTCATTAGCTGCAGTGAATGGCGCCTTTGGCAATTGCTTGTTATATTGAGGTTTTTTTTTTTTGTGTGTGTGTCTCTCTTTTTTTTTTTTTCTTTTCTTGTTTACTTTTTTCTCTTATGCGCTTTGCTTTTGGCGTCTGGACGCTAATTTTCAAGGGTCCCCTTTCACGAAAACAAACAAACACGCACACAAGATTACTGCCACAACTTGAACTTGAGGGGCAATCGTAACAATTGACATCGCATTGGGAGTTGAAGCAGCAGTCATGAAGTCCTTTTTCTCCAAAAAGCCAGAGTTTGACGCGGTCAAGGTGAAGGCCAATATTCGAATGGCCGTGACGCGTGTACGCATGCAGCAGAACAAACTAGTCAATGGTGTAAAGATTCAAAGGCGCCAAATTGCGGAGCTTCTCGCGTTGCAGAAGTACGACTCAGCCCGCATCAAAGTGGAGCAGGTCATACGCGATGATGTGAGTATTGAGGGCCTGGAGGCACTTTCGCTCTTTCTTGAGCTTATCGCTAACCGTGTGCAGATGATTGCCGATGTTAAGGGCACCAAAGGTAACGCTGCCGGGATACATTGCCCACCGGAGCTGAAGGAAAGTGTCACTTCAGTTTTGTGGGCCTCCGCCCGTCTGGGCGATATTGCACCGGAGTTGCAGAATATTAAGAATTTTTTTGAAATGAAGTTTGGCAAGGCATTTGTGATGATGAGTGTAAATAACACGGAATTTTCTGTGAATCAGACAATTATTGATCGCCTAGGCATATTTACTCCATCAAATGAGCGTTGCCTGCAGTACCTTACCATGATCGCCACCGAATACAGCATTGAGGGATACGACGAGCAAAAGCTGCGTGACCCGAACACTTTAGTTGCCTCTGCCGCCGCCGCGAGTGGCGCTGCGATTTTGAGTGTTGTCGATGAGAAGAAGAAATCCGGCGGTGCTGCGGCAGTTAGATCGGTTACGAGTGGCACCATAAAGACACCTTCGGGGCTGATCATTCCTGCGCTGACGACCCCGCGTGACGAACTAGAATGGCGGCTGCTTCAACTGAAAAGGGAATGAAAGGGAAAAACAGCTAAAAAAAAAAAATGGAGGGGAGAAATGAAGAAATTTATTTATTTTTCTGCTTTTTTGCGGCGTTTTCCCTTCTTTTTGTAAGAGTGGGCGAGTGTGTTTGTGGATTGGTGGGTGCTGCTGCCACTACAAACATTACGTATCTATATATTGCGCCACATCTACGCTTCTAAATCGTCGAAATGTGATGTGATGTGCCTGAAGGCTTTCTTGTCCTTGCCATTCTCTTTGTTGGGGTGTCTGCATGCGCGTCCTCTTTGTGATGCTGCGGTTGTCTTTTTTGTTTCTTGTTGGCTGTGTTGTTTGCCGTGCGGCTGCTACGACTTGGAAACACGAGGCGTTTGCGGGCGAGGGGAAGAAGTTGAGAAGTGAGTAAGAGCCAAAATCTGCGAGTCATGACGAGTGAGGGGAAATGACATTTATGTGTACGTTGGCTCCGCGTTGTGGTTACCGGTACATATTCAAGGTGCCTTCTCTCTGGTCTCACTGTTTTTGAATGATGACAGGAGAAGAAAAAAAAAAAAAAAGAAGCAAGGTGAAGGAAGATTGAGCGACAGCCCCAGCAAAACAGTTATGAACATTACGGGCAAACCGGGATCCCCTGGCCCTGGCCCCACCCCCGCTTTCTCGATGGCGCCCGGCAACTCTTCGACATATGGCAACGCGTTTGCAGGCGAGGGAACAGGCGCGTATGGCGGCAATAAACCACGTCCTGCGGCAGACCTGACAGAAGAGGAGGTCCTTCAGTATATTGTTGATAATGTAAACAAGGTGCTGTCTCGGCAATATTCACTTGTGGAATTTGATGCCATTCAAGGTGTTCCCTTGCTTCAAATCGTCAACGACGTCTTTGGCACTCTGGCGCAGTCACAACAAATGGATTTGGAAGAGGTGCCCATTGGTGAGGCTGCACCGCGTATGATTGAGTTCCTGACGAAAACTCTTGGCTACCGAATACCGGCGCTTCTGGCGGACAATTTTGCGTCCGGCTTCGCTCAGGCCGAGCCGACCGTTGTGTATCCGACACTTTACTGGGTGCTATCCAACATGCCGCAGAACGAGAAGCGTGTGTACCTTGCCCGTTTTCTTCAGCGGCTTGATATTCCAGAGGCGATGCGAGCTCAGGATGAAGATGTACGGGCCCTTTATCAGCAGTATGAGAACCTTCGATTGATGTTCGTTCAAACGCATCGGCGCGTCGATGCGCTTCGGGCTGCTCACGCGGATCCCGCGGAGGCGCGCCGAAAAGTCACCGCACTTGAGGAGGAACGGGACCGTCTTCAGGATTACATTCAGGTGGCGGAGAAAAAACTTGGCGGTGTGCCCGACAAGGAGTCACTTGTGAATGCGAGTAAATCCCTCCGCGCGGCATTGGAGGAGGAGTCAAAGTTGGCGGAGAAGCGAGTGGAGCTGCAACAGTCGCTCATCTCCGCACAGCAGCGCAGCACGGAGATGCAAAACCGGCTACAAAATCTTCGCCGTGATGCCGCTGATGGTCGTGTGGACGTTATTGTACGCCGCATGCGAGATGAGATTCAAACGAACAAGATGATTCTCGAGGAGCATCTTCCAAAAGAACTTGAGCAAAAGCGTCGGGAGAATGAAGAGCTGGATAAGCTCATCTCTGAGCCTCTGGACATGCAGGCGCTGACGACAGAGAACCAGAAGCTCGATGAGGCGTTAAAGAAGCTCCAGCATCAAGTGAAGGAACGGCAGAAGCCTGGTGAAGATGGAAGCACCATTTCAACCATCAAACAGCAAGTGGAACGGGTGACAAAGCGCAAAGAAGAGGTATTGGAGATGCTCACAAGCCTGCAGGCTGACAACAGTCGCACTTTGAATGAAATTCGGGATAGGGAAAATCGCATCAATCAACTGCGTGAGGCGCATCAAATGTTGAAGGGTGATGAATTTCTCACCTTTTCAAATCAAGTCCGAGCTAAAAAGGCCGCAAGTGAGGGGATGAGGGCGAAATTGTCAGAGTTACGTGTTGAGTGGGGAGTAGTGACATTTACCGAAAACGTCCTAAAGGCGCAGTTTAACGATCTTGACGCCGAGATTGGTGATCTTGAAAGGAAACTCGGGCTGCAGGGTTACAGCCGCACAGTGGAAGCCCTTACCAAGCTGACGCGTGAAAAGGATACAATTGAAGAACTCAAGGGCAAAACACTTGAGGAACTTTCACGCGTTGTGCAAGATTTCACAATGGCAATTCGTGAACGCCGAACAAAGCTTGCACCACTGATTACTGAGCTTCGGGAGGTTCGGCAAACGGCGGCTGAAGTTGATCAAGAATGGCTTTCGAAGAAGTCTAATTACGAATATCAAGAGAGTTTGTTTATGGAGGACATATCGAAGATGGAGCGCGATGTCCAAGCCCTTCGAGACGAAACAAACATGAATGAATCTATTTATCATCGTCTACAGGCACAAGGGGCCTTGATTACCGCCCAATGGGATCGTATTGAGGCTGAGCGTGAGTTTACGGGGATCCTGAGGAGTGGTGCTGAGATTCCAACGGAAGACGAGCGTGCGCAGGAGGCTACAGTCGTAGTGGGGGGCCTGAAGTGTACATACTGCGGCAAAGCAAACCCAACGAGGGGATGGCTGCTGTACCACCTCAACAAGGATCATGGTGTCACCGTTCTGGCAGAAAAGGGATTTGAACGGGCAATTGAAGACTTGCAGGTGCGACTTAGAGAGACGCAGCAAAGACACCTTGATATTCAAGAGAATTATGAGGGGAGTGTTCAACAAGTAGAGTGGTTCAATCATCTGAAGCGAATCCTGGAGGCAAAACTACACTCCATTCACACCGAGGAACCACAAGGTCCAAATGCTCTTGAGAAAGATATCCAGCAGGTGATGGGCACTGCGAGCGCCGGAGTTAATGGCGTGGACATGCTGGTTTTGACTGGTAACTAGGCTGGTGTATTTCAACGGAATGGGTGCGAAGCAAGGCGATAGACAAGGCGAAAGAGTACACAAACGAAAGAACGTGAAAAAAAAAAAAAATTAAAAAAGAGGCAGTGAAAGAAATAATAGCGATGTTGGGCATTTCTTTTCCCGAGTTTTTTCATTTTTTTATTATGTGTATTTGACGTAGTTACGCGTTTCTTCTGCAGGCGTCGTGTGGAGGGGCGGGAGAAGAGAAGGGAACACGAGACAAGAGTTGAGGGTTAAGGTTCTCTGCAAAACGAGATGCTTGCTTGCATTTGGACACGCCTTTATCATCTTTGTTTTTCTTCTGTATGCGCTTTTTTCCACTTTGCCCCCTCACTTTTTTTTTTTTTTTTCCTTTTTTCTTCGATTTTTGCGTGCGTCAAGACACCCTCTCTGTACTCCCAAATATGAAAAGTGGGCTACGGCCAATCCACCGCCCGGCGAGGGACACGGGACTGAACAGCAGTGATTTGACGGCGGATGCGGAGGGTCTTCACATGAGCTCAAGAAAAGTTCAGTTGCTGACGCCTCTGGCGAGTTTTTCTTCCGAAGAACTTGCGCGGCTTCGTCGCACATCCCCCGACGCGTATCAGGCGCTTTTGCAGTACGAGCAGCTTTGCCGTCACGACACGGCGGTTATCGCGGCAAAGGAGACAGAGCTGCAGCGCTGCATCGAAGTCGGGCAGGAAGTTCTTGGGCAGTTGGATCAGTTGAAAGGCCGCTGCTCTCAGCTTGCAGGGGAACGCGACAAAGCTACCGCAAGAATAAGGGAGCTTCAGCAGCACCTAAAGCGTCTTGAATCCACGCGAAATCACGGTGCAGATGACCATCCATCGCCAGTGATTCAAGGAGGATCGCGGAAAATGGATGTTTCCCTTCGCGAGCAGCTGCACCAGCAGGAAGAGGAGAAGCAAAAGTCGCACGTGTATGCAAAAAAATTGGAAAGGGAATTACAAGAGCAGAAACTGTTGCACGACACGCTAAAGCGAGACCTTGAGAGCGCCGTTCAAACAGCACGGATCGCCGGCGCGGGGAGTGAAGCAGCGGAAGCAGCACGGCGCTCGGCGGAGGCATCTCTAGAGGAGATGCGGTTGAGAGTAGAAGAGAAGGACCGTGAATTGTTGCGTGCCCATGCGGCTCAGCGTGAGGCAGAAGAAAATCTTCGAGAACAGCAGCAGGAATTAGCCAAAACTTCAGCGTTGTATCGCGACTCTCAAAAGCCATCTGTGGAAATGGTTACCGCTGCTTCCATACTTGTCACACTACACAACCAACTGCAGGAACTCATTTTGGATGCAGGACGTAGCCACAACACAAAACGGGAGCTGTCCCCAGTCGCAGTTTCGCAGTTGACGCGCCTGCGTTTGCCGACCGCGGCGACGGTCGGTGCGACCGCTGATTCCAGCTTCACACCGGGGCAGCTGGGGCAGTGGTTTGCGCATTCTCTAGAGGAAACATCGCATCTTGTAATTGAACTATCGCGGGCTCTGCAACAGTTGGAGGAGCGTCTGCGTCGTTGCGACTCCGACCTAGAACGAGCCACCGCCGAACTGCAGCTTGCGCTTGACAAGGCAACTAATTTGGGCCGGGAGAATGAGCAGTTGAGGCTATCGCTCGTTGCACTTAAGGAGGAAGTGCAGACATTAGATGCACAAACTGACCGATTGCGTGAGTTTGACACTCTTGAAGTGCAACGTCAAACAAATCTTCGTATTGCGGCAATAGAGGAAGAAAAACGTGCGGAAAAGGTAGCACTCCAGTGTGAATTAGAGCAGACACGGCGCCAGGGTGCCTTAGAGCTTGCCAATCTTCATGAGGATCTGGAAAATGAGCGGCGCACAATGGAGCGTGAGATTCGTTCACTTCGTTCGGAAATTAACCGATGGCGCGAGGAAGAAAAGTCGGCGGTGTCAGCAGCGGGACGTCTGGCGGCTGCACTTTCCTCTCCATCCGGCGAGGAACAGTTACAGGCGGTTAGGCAGCAGCAACTCGCCTTTCAGGGAAGGGTAGAGGAACTAGAGGCGGAGAACCAACGGCTACGTGCAAAGAATTCACAGGAAATAGCGGAGTTACGGGCAGAGAACACCCGTTTGGAGCAAGTTGTACAAAACAGCCGTTCCCGCTACCAGCGGCAATTGCAACAACACGAGGATGAGATGGAAAAGATGATACAGTCGAAGCAGGAATTGCAGCGGCGACTTTGTGAACATGATTCGAATGACATTCATCGTATAAAGGAACTGCAAGATGAAATGAAATGCATGAGGGACGTTGAGTGTAAGCTGAGGGGTGAGTTGCTCAAGGCTCGTACGGAGCTAGAGAGCAATACGGCGGAGACAGAGAAGACAATGTCGTGGTTGCGCGAGCGTCACGAGGCGGAGTTGGCGCAAGTCACTCACGAACTGGAAACACTGCGGCGCGGCATGGAGGAAAAAAATGCATCTTTCATTGCGGAAAATACAAAACTTCGGGAGAAACTAGAGCAGGCTCAGTGCAGTAAGGAGACAGAGCTGGGGGCGAAAGATTCGACTATAGCCACGCTTAATCGTCAGTTGTGTGATGCCGAGATTGAGGCGGCAAAGATGCAAGATGCCCTTCATCGTTCCTCGCAGAAGGCAAAAGGTCTAGCGGCGGAGACCGTTCCTGTGGACCGCTATGAGGAGATTGAAACGGAGTTAATGCAAGAGCGTGAACATGTGCAGGCGCTTGTTGGTTCACTTAATGCAGCACAAACGAATATAGAAGAGTTGCGTGGAAAGCTTGAGGAACAAAAGCAATGTGTGCAGGATTGTCTGGGCCAACTACCGCCAAGCCCCGCTCAACAGTTTTCACGAATTGCTTTGCTGCTGCAGGCAACTGCAAAGAGGGCGACGACGCGTCTCCTTGCAATTCTTGATGAGCCACGGTCCGTCTCCGTACCCAGTCTCAGCCCACCGCGTGAAGAGTTGGATGCGATGACATTTCGCATTGAACCCGACGATGCAGCCGAAATCTCGGGGGTCATCAAGCCCCTTGAATTTTCTCCGGTGATTCGTCTACCGACAACTCCAAGGGAAAATTTTCCCAAACTGCCACCGCAAAAATCACACGGGGAACCGAGCAGTAGCCGAACCCTTTCACCACCAACATCAACGTTGGAAGACGATTTAAGTCCTCCTTCCAGGCCAGGAGTCTGGAAAAATTGTGAGTTGGCTGCAGCATTCTCCAGCGCTCTCCACACGTTCCTCAGTGATCTTACATCATCGGTGGAACAAGTTTCACTACGGCCGTACGCCTTTTTTTGGGAATCTTTAGAGCGTCTACAACGCCTTTTTATTGCTTCCTCTCCCATGGCTGCCAATACCAAGACAACTCCCGCTACCACTACTAATACTAATAATAATACTGCTGACACCACCTCTGAAGCGCAATTGGTCGCCACAGATGGTAGCAACGTCAATATCAGGAATATCGGCGCCGACAATGACAATGTAAATGATTCTGGAGAAGAAACAGCAAATGTGCATCACGAGGAAACAAACGATGACGTCATGTGGACTGCTATAGCGGGTGGTATTGTGGATGCCTATGTTGACGAGTGTGCGGCGGTGTTTAAGCGTCTATATCATAGCACAACTATTTATCTGCGTGAACGTGAAGAGACGTTCAAGAAGTCCAGTCATCATCTAAACATGAGTTGTGAGGAGCGTGTGCGTCGCATGACTCGCGGTATGACGGAACGGGAGCAGGGACTGGCAACGCAACTGGCGACAGCACAGTCGAAGGCTGCTGCAGCACAGCGCTTTTCCGATGAAGCATATACAAAATTGGAGGACGTTACATCGCGATACAACGAAGTTTGTGCGCGTGTGGAGCATCTTGAAGAGCAACTGGCTGCCAAGAAACGTGAGTTGGAAACAGAACGGAGGCAGTGGCAAGAAACTGTTGCTAAGCTTCAATTGGAACGTGCGGCACGACGGCAAGGTGAAGAGGGACGGCAAGAGCAACTTTTGCGGCAGGTAGAGGAGTTGCGGGCGGAGCTGCAGAATGTGCAGGCACGATTAAATTCCGCGCGTGAGGAAGAGCAAGGAATTCGCCGTGACGCGGATAACACAAAGGAGCTCTTGCAGAGGGATATTCATCGTCTTGAGCGAGAGTTACTGGAGGCACGCAATTCGCAGAACAAAACGGGACAGGCGCTGCATGAAATCCGTGAGCAACTGGCGGCATCCAACCTGACGCTACAGCAAAGACAAAACGATGAAATGTCGCGGGCGAGACAGGCAGAAAGAACCATCGAGGCGTTGCAACAAGAAATTAGCGAGGCACACACCGCTCATCAATCAATACAACGTTTATTGCAGGCGGAAAAGTTTCGTAGCGAGGCAGCTGAGGAACACTCGAAGGATCTCAGCCGCCAGCTGGCGGAGAAGCAGGTGCAAATTGAGACACTTGAACAACGTGTGGCGGAACTGCAAGAAGCATGTTGGCTTCAAGAGAAGGCATTTGACGCGATGACAGAAGAAAATGGGGCGCTGCAGAAGGTGAATCGTGTCTTGGAAGGGCGGCTTGCGAAGGTGGAAAGCGAAAGAGAGCCCTTGCGACAGCAGCTCCAGAGCCTGCTTTTGCTTGAGCCACGTTGAATTTGTTGTTTACCCCTCCCCAATTATATTCTTGCTTTGTTTTAGCGGAAATTGGTTTGCTGATGGCTGTGGGGAGGCTGGAGACGAGTTGTCCAGGGAATATCAGAGATGTGCTCTCAAAGGGGCTGCATGATTGCTGTACTGAATTGTATATTTTAAATGAGTATTATTAGAGTCGAGGAGAAAAAAAAAAAAAGAAAACAGCAACAGAGGAGCGAACAACTGAGAGTGGTGGGGTTTTTTCTTTCTTTTTTTTTTCCTCTTTACATCTCTTTTTCTCTTCTTTTTTTTTGATGTATTTTTTATTTGCATGCACTGCAGAATTGGTGCATAGGACGCATATCTATTTATTTATTTATTTTTAATTGTAAAGGGGAGTGTGTCTGTGTGTGTTCTTTCTGGCGAGGGCGAAATCACCAACAGTAATGTGTAACAACGGCGAAAAAAGCGTTTTTAGCGAAACGGGTGCAAAGGAGAACAGCACGAATCATGCCAGTGGCCGGCGGGGTCCACGTACAACGTGTGAATACAAGTTGGTGCACTCTGAATTTGGAATAACACCCGCAATTGGTGTGTGTGGGCGCGAGGCTCGGCCCCACGTACATCCACAGCGCTTTGCGCGTGGGAAAGAGGAAGAATACCGCGGCAAAAAGCACATTGATCCGCATTACATCAGTCTTTCAGACGACGCTAAGCGTCAGGAAGGTCGATATGGGAAAAGACGGGTGCAAGGTGTTACAGGTGCTGGTAAAGACACTGTTTCCAGTATTCTCGCTCCGAGGGAAAGCTTTACAACAACGGAACGGCGTTGTGTAAAACCACTCAACAGAAATACATGTACCTCGGTGCAAATAGCAGAGGCGCGTGCCTTGAATATTGCCGAAAATCCGTCCTACCGTGAGGCGGCACAAAAAGTTTTGCGCCACGCTGGAAATTCATCAATTGTACGTGAAGAAGAACGTCTCGCGCGGCGTATTGCTTCAGTAGAATATGCGAAGGGAAGTCATGAGCGGTGTGCCAATCTAAAGGAAAAGAAAAACGCAATGGATTTGGGAAAACCAGGCGAGGCGATTCAAGTGCATGTGCCTTTTGCACTTGATGACTCTGCACCGCGTCCTGACAATCTCACTGAGCATCGCGGGGCGCATTATCGTAATGCGGAGTCTAAACCAACGCCTGAAAATCCTCCACGACGCTCCAATGGTGCAGGTGAACACCGGGGATTGCGGGACAATGTGCTGCTCTCGAAGAATGATTACCCCGATCCGCCGGCTGTTGGCGTCCGAGTTATGCCTCGTGTAGCAGTACGGCCCAGCTCCTCGCAACATGAATCAAAGGATTGCTTTGACGAAGATATGCTTCGCCGATCCAGGGCTCGCTGCCACCAGAGTGCAAACCAGAAAATGCCAGACTTTATTTTTGGCCAACCACCCCCACCCAAAGCACCACAAAAGACACTTCGTGGCATAACAGAAGAACGGTGGAGAGCAGAGGAAAAACGTGCAGCAGAGCGGCATACCGGGCGAGCGATGACGCACCAAAGTCATAAACCAACTGCACTGTGGTGATTTGGTTTGATTTGTTTGTTTTTCTTGTGTTCTTTTGAGTGTCCAATAGTTTGGAGTAGATCCACTTTTTTTGTGTGTTGGCTTCGCAGGGAGGATGGGAAAGGCGAAGAGTTCTTTCTATTTTATTTTATTTTATTTTCGTGGGTCTGGGGCTGAGACTATGCTTCCCCTTTATTTTCCAAAACTTTCTATCGATCTTGTTTAATAATGCGTGAAGTGGATGACCGTCACTTGTACTACCTCCGTCTAGAGCCGCTTTCTGTGTTGTTGTTGTTTTTTGTTTGTTTGTACCCGCTTTGGTTGCCACGTCTGTAAGGTTTGTGTTTTATCTTGTTGTTTTTGTTGTTGTTATTCCACGTGCTCCTTCCCCGCCCATCCTGCGATTTCAGAGGAAGGCCCCTCTCTGCGTGTCTGTGGGACGTCTGCCTCTTTCCCCCCCTTTTTTTTTTTCCGTGTGCGTGTTTTTTTTTGGTTTTTTTTTTTTTTTTTTTTTTGCATGAGTTCGCCACCCACTGATTTTTTTTCAAAAAGGAGGATATATGGAACGGGTGGGAGGTGCCGTGACGAGCAGCAGGCATGACCCTGCTTCAGAGTGCTTTCCGACTCTCACAGAGGCGGCCACTGCGATCATGACACCCGAGGAGCTGCAGAATATGCGTCGCAACCTCACGGAGGAAAAGATCGCCCATGCCAAATACTTGCGGGAACACCCAGAGATTGACGCCATCATGCGCTGTGCGATGCGAAAACTGTTGATGCAGCGGCCTGAGGACCCGGTTGGTGTGCTGTTAGAGTTCTTTGCCTATGGCAACCTACAAGTCGAGCTGCAAAGCCAAGGCGATAAAAAAGAGGAGTTGGAAAGGTTCCTTTCGATGCAGAAGGAGCGGGGCATGATGCCTGTGTGGCCTCCTTGAAGAAAATTTCCGAGGTGTAAGCAACACCAGCGTATGTATGACGATGGCGGGTTGGCGGTGGGACAATAAAAACCCGTCGGAAAAAAAAAACGAATAAAAAAAGAAGAGACGGGTTTGAGGTTTCCGTGCATAGCTGAGGGACTGTATGAATGCATCAGTTTATTATTAAATTTGCTTCTCTTTTTCCGTCTTTATTGGTCTTGTGTAGTGCGGTAGTCGCAGATGTACCTTCCCAGGAATAAAGAGAAACCCAAAGAAAATCCTTTCGCGGTGCAGAAGTCACGGCGTTTTATCGTTGCATCTTGCGGTCTTGCGTTTCTTACAACGGTGGCGGCCTTATACCTTGCGCTTGAAAAGGCACGAGGTCGACAACGGCGTCCCGATGGAGTCTTAAGCCAACAACGCACCGGCAGACGTGTCGTGATCGTTGGCGCTGGTGCAGCTGGGTCAGCGCTTTCCGCAAGTCTCACGACAGCCTCACCGGATCTGCACGTGACGGTGATCGAACGGGAAAAGAAACATGTGTTTCACGCCATGGTTCCCCTCGCCCACGTGGGGCACCGTAGTTACGACCTTAACACAACAGGGAAAGTTGATTTTCTGCGGTCACCTGCCACGTGGAACGTGACACGAGATGCATCCCTCGTTCGGGGGGAGGTGGTGCTTGTTGACACTGCACGAAACGAAGTGGTTGTACTTGAAGATTCTCCCAATTCTTCTGCAACTCAATCATCATTGCCACCTACCCCACCGCCACCATCATCATCATCGTCATCCTTGTCGCGGTGGGTGGCGCCGCTAAAAAGTTGGTGGGCGTGGAGTTCTTCCATTTTTGGTGCCGCACCGTTGGAGCGTCGCTACCCGTACGACGCACTCGTCATTGCGTGTGGTGCGGAGCGAACGCTCGGGCCGCTGAAACGTTTTATTTCACCTTCTCAGGTGGATCGATACCGCATTGCTGTGAATCCCGGCATCACACGGGATTCTCTTGTGCATCTGTTTCAAGGGACCGTCCTGCACGTAAAGGTGCCTCCAACCTCTTTTGTAACGAACGGCAAGATGCGGTACACATCGCGTCAGCACGACGGCACATTTATTGGCTCCGTAAATACCATTTGGCGTTACATGTATTACTTCAACAAACTCTTACTTTGCCCGTACATTGCAGTGACAGCGGACCGACAGCCGAGCGACGCTTTCCCCCTGATTCTTAACGATCGAATACTGTCCTTGTGGCGAAATCGTGGTGTTGACTTCATCACATGTTCTTATATTTCACATCTTGATCCACTGCGAAGTGAGGCAACTCTTTACAATTATGTCACAAAAGAAAAAAGGGTGGTGCCGTACAAGCTGCTTGTGCTCGATCTTCCCCTTGTCGCACCTGCCTTTATCGCGAAGAGCGGATTAAGTGGCGGGGCAGCGGCGGAGGGGTTTGTTGATGTCCACCCTGAAACGTTGCAGCATCGTGTTCATGCAAATGTATTTGCCCTTGGTGACTGCGCAGCCCTCCCAACGGTAAAGAGTTATGGTGCGGCATTTGCGCAGGTGCCAGTGGTCAGTCACAATGTTCGGCAGCTTCTACGGCAACTTGATCAAGTGAAAGATAAAGAAGAGGGCTCCTTGAGATCGCATGCGGGGTTTGCTCGCTACGACGGATATTCCTCGTTCCACGTTGTCATGACGACATGGCGTGCCATGTGGCCGGAGTTAAAGTACGGCAAGTCGAAATACGAAATTGGCGAGAGCGGTTCTTACACTCTTGACGGTGCCCCTGTTGTGCTGACAAATAACCACTTGTGGGATAATTTGGCTTGGATTGACGTCAGAGGTTTTTTGAACGCGGTGTATTACCAGTTGTTTCTTTACGAGGTGATGTTCTACTTTCTCTTTACACGGGCTGCGTGGTACCCGCCGAGTTGGTTCTCCGTCCCCACGTTTAGCGAAGAAACAGGCGAGCCTCTTCGCGGGGGGATGCTGTGAATAAGAAAAAAAAATGTTCACAAAAGCAGGTTTTTGTTATTGTTATATATTTTTTTGTTTCTTCTCTATGCCCAGTTTTAAATTGCGTGATTTATGGCTTGTGTGCATTTATTTGGGTGTTTTATCCACTGCCTGCCTGTTTGCTAGAGTTTCTCATGTCTCTGGAGAATGAGAATTGTCCTTCTTTTTGTTTTTGCTTTCAATTTTTTTGTTTTTTTTTGTACCCCCGTGTCGTGAATGGGATTTATTTGGAAGTGTTTATGCAAAGTGGCTCGGACGCACTTAACGAAACGCCATGGATTCGTCTGCCAATGGAAGTCTGGGCGACGAGAAGGGCGAAGAGGGTCGCGGGACCCCCGTTGGCGCTTCAGGGGGTGTTGCTGTGGGTTTTGCAGGACCGCCATCTCGTATGGAGGAATTGAGTGAAGAAGAAGAAGAAGAGGATGAGACGGTTGCGACTGCGAGAAATATGGAGCTGAAGCTTTCGGCCATGCGGGACGTAACGTTGACGGATACAGCCGGTGATGCGGGGCACATGGAAGAAGCTCAGACACCGCCCCAGGCGGCCGTTGCATCGCAGGTGAGTGGACCCTCCTCTTTGGTGATGGCATCGCAGTGTGTGTCTCCCGACAATATTTTTTGCAGACACTCTAAGCATGTTTTTGTTTTTACAAGTGCCGGCAAGCCTGTCTTCACACGCCATGGCGATGAGGAGGAATTCACTGAGCTCTTCGGTATATTTCGAGTGCTCATGGCCATGGCTCAGCAGAGACACGGCGATGCGGCGGCAGTGCGGCAACGGCAGAAGGAAAATCTACATTGCATCACGGCTGGTGATCTGTACCTCTACTTTTGCGTGCATGGGGAGCTCTTCTACGTACTTGTGACGCGCGCGAATGAGTCCATGCGAAGCTGCATGCGGCAGTTACGACAGATTCATCTGCAGCTAGTTAGTCTTGTACCCAATGTGAGCAGTATTCTCTCTCGCCATCCTTCGTATGACCTTCGGCGGCTTATTTCCTCCACAGACGCCAGTGTTATACGGCAACTTATTAGGTGCAATAGTCAAGAGGAATGTTATTTGTTCCGCTGCCTTGCCGCAGCGCCGTTGTCGGTGAGGCGGCGGCGTTCACTGGAGTTCCTCCTTACACAACACCATGGTACAGCCTTTTCAACCACCAAATCAATTGGCGGCGGCGAAGAAAACAGCACTGAAAATACGGGGCACAGAGCAATAGCTAAGGAAGCAGAGGCAAAAGATCATCTTTACAGCTTTTTATTTTTTCGGGGCCGTGTGGTGTGTGCCGTGGGGCCAGCGGACTCTGACGCACCACTTCATGTCGATGATGCTCTTTTACTACTTAATTTTACACGGTGTCTTGCCAATTCACAGGCAGGGGAAATATGGGCGCCGGTTTGTTTGCCCATGTACAACAACACCGGGTATCTATGGTGCTATTGTGCCAATATGAATGTTATGGCACGGGACTCTCGACGTGGTCGTGCCGGTCTAACTTCGTTTGGTGACTTGGGGAATTTAGCGCTAGGGCAGGAAGAAATTCAAGGGCGAATTACCGGTGGTCATGAAACTGAAGGAAGTCTATGTGATCCAGCATACTCGGGAAGCAGGGTCAAGAAAGATGTCGCCGCATTGGACCTCCCTTCGGATGAAACACCAGCGGCGTTCTTAAAGTCCGAGGGGCTTTTGTTGGTACACATTGCAGCAAGTCAGGAGGCTTTTGTAGCTCTTGCAGAGCAGACATATCGAGTGGCAAGTCAGTTAATGTCGGAAATTGTTCAATTGGAGGAGGAACTCTCTCGGTATGAAAGAATTGCTTTGTCCCTTGTAACCTCAGAGGCGAGAGTCAAGAAGCAAGCGCAACAGCAACGATGGCTTAGCTGTGAGACGACACCACCCCTTGCGGCCCACCCCGACTCTAGCAATGTCACAAGCAACACTTTCTTGTCCCCGTTTATTCATCCAGACGGTCTTCAGTGGTTTGCTGCGGTGCTGAGGGGCAAGCCATACAAGGGAGGTTTCCTTACTCTTGTCTACAGTGAACCTTCACCGGCGATGCGATTCAGCGCACACGAACGAAAGCGACTTTTACGGCTTGTAGTGGAACAGCGGGAGAGACTTGTTCATTGCTCGTGCCTACCTGAGCCACTTGTCTTGATGCGCATGAACGATGTGAACCTTGTTGTTATGCGCACAACCTCTACCTTCATCGCATCGCTCATGGAGCAATTTTTCAAAACACGGACGGATATTTCTTCGCCATCCTCTGCTGCGTCTGCGGGCGATGGTGACGATTTTATAACTTCACAAGAGGCTCTCGTTGCGTCCAGTCGTGTGAAGGAACTGATGCTGTTATTTTCTCCGCATGTGTCAAACCCGCAAATGCTGAGATGTGCATTGCGCGTGCTTGTACGGTTGGCGGCCCGTGAAAGTGAACTGTCCTTTTATCAGTTACGTGGCGTTCGGCGATGAAAGTCTGTGCCGCGTTTCGTGCTACTCCGTCTGTCGTTACTTTTGGACGACTTTTTTGTGAATGTTTTTGTTTGTTTTTTTGTTTGTTATTCTTTTTTCTGTACCTTTGCTTTGCTGTTATTTTGTTGTTTTTTTGTCAATACTCACTCGGCATCGATGGTCTCCTTTTTTTTCCCCCACCCGCCCAACCCTTTTTTTTACATTTTTGTCTGCTTGAAAACACTCCTTTCGAAATTTCTTAAGTTTTTTCTATGCTGGCCAAAAAGAAGGCCGAGAGGAGGCATGCCATCGCCGTGATTGCCTCGGCAGAGCGGCAGAGGAAGCTGAGGCGGATGCGTCCTGACGCGAAAGGCGAAAAGGAGAAGATGAGGAAAGTTGGGAAACGCCATCGGACCAGCGAAGAGGAGGATCACACGGTGGACCCGATGGCGGTTTCGGCCGAGAACCCTGCAGATGTGCTTCGAGCCATCGGAGACCACGTCAACACACGGCTTCAAAAACTTGAGTTTGACGACGACTTGGATGCGGACTTGTTCGACGAGCAGCAGCGTCAGCTGCGGGAGGAAGCGGCCATTGCGGCAGGCACAAAGTCGCGTGTGTTTTCCACCGCCATTTCAGGATTTTTTCGACAGCAAGAAGAACAAAATAAAAGTCTCAAGATGTTGCGCGTGGGGCACAACAGTAATGCGTTAACGGCAGTATGTGGTCTTGGGTCCGAATTGGTGGTCTTTGGGGATAAGTCGGGATCTGTGTACATGGCGGAGCTGCGCGGCAGTCCGTCCCTGCCACTTTCTTCCAATTCTTCGCAGAAGACCCTTCTTAGACCTTGTTTACCCGCAGCGGTACTTTCCATAGCCGTTTCTGACACGAGTGGTCTACGCCCCTCACAACGCGCCCTGTTTGAGCGTAGCACCGTCGATACAAGCGTCACATCTTACATTGCGGCTGGTGGAGCTGATGGTACAATAAGCATATGGGTAACAAGAACCCGAATGCATATGGGGTTTTTATCCATGCATCGTTCTGCAGTGACTGGATTGGCGTTTCGTCACGACACACTATATAGCTGCAGTAGCGACGAGACATTGCGAGTGTGGTCTGTGCCGCAGATGATTTGTCAAGACAAACTTTTTGGTCATCAGGGAAGTGTTCTTGGCATACATTGTCTCAAGCGGGAACGCTGCGCAACTGTTGGAGAGGATGGAACAATGCGTTTCTGGAAGGTGGACGCAGCGACACAACAGGAGTTTACCACACACTCTTATTTTGGTGTGAAGGTTGTGCTTGAATGTGTCACAATGGTCAACGAAAATGTTGTATTGTGTGGTGCGTCCAACGGTGCGCTTCTCTTATATGATCTCAACAAACGGAAGCCGCTTGCGGTGCAGGAGGCGGCACACGGTTACGGATTTGTGGGTGACGGCACGGGTCTGGAGAAGGTGATATTGGCGGCACAACTGGAGAAGGCCAGCAGTAATGGTGAAGAGCAACGGGAGGAATGTCGGCGGAACGCGAACCCCATCACAGCGGTGGCGTCCATACCGTACAGTGACGTGGCAGCCAGCGCAAGTTATGACGGCAATGTGCGGCTCTGGCGCATTGCCACTCCAGAGACGGGCAAGAAGAGTGGCCCAACAGTTGATCAGGCTCAGACAGGCGCAGTGGCCAAAACGACATTTGAGTGTTTGGCGTCCATACCCATTAGCGCCATTGTGACTTCCTTGTATTTCACCTCTAGTGGCGATGCTCTTTTTCTCGGGTGCGGTAAAGAACCCAGACTTGGTCGCTGGGTTGTGCAACGAAGCGCTCTCAACGCTGCATATGTTGTGCCTCTTGATGATTCCAGGCTACGCGCGTTCACGGCCTGTGCGGATGTGGAACACATCCCTGCGATGTTGTACGGCTTTGACGATGAAGAAGATGACAATCACAGGGAAGAGAAAGACGACGGGGGGGAAAATGATGTGCCGGGGAGTATTGACCTCACCGAAAGGAACGGTGCTCTTCAGGCTAATGAGGGCAGTGATAATGACAGCGAGGTCGGGAGCGGCCTGTTTACGCTTGGCGAGGACGGCCAGATGCAATTTCTTGTGCCACCGGAGGCTGATGCCACAGACGAGACGGCGGTGGTGAAGAAAAAGAAGAAGGCCATGAAAGCAAAGAGGGAAAAGAATGTGCCGTCACGTGGTGCGGGTGGCAACAACGAGAAAAAGTTTAGTCGAATCAAAAGGGCGGCTGAGAACCGGCAGACGCATCAGCCGACGGGCGATTCGCCGCGGCCCCAGAGAAGGAAGAGGAAGAAGGCAAACCCCAAGGAGGCAAAGGAGTGACGGGGAATGGAAAGAGACATGGCGCGTGTTGTTTCCCAAGGCACATTGTTTTGCCTACTTCCTTGTTTTCTTCCATTTGGTTTTCTTTCTTCCTTTAATAATAATAAAAAACCTCGGAGAATTAATTAAGGCAGCCCCTACCCTCTAACGCACATAAAGCAAAAAATGAAACAAAGTGGGAAAAGAGAGAAGCATGCATGCATGCAACACGCTTAAAGCTGGAGAACATAGATGAGAGGCGCAGGGTGACTTTCACTGGTGAAGGTTGGCTGGGGAGAGCAGACACAGTGAAATTGGCCATACCACCCATGAGCTTTTTTTGTGTTGCTTTTTTCGGTCTTCGCTCTCTCTTTTTTTTTTTTTAGTTTCTCCCTTTTTACCCTACTTCTTATATATAAATATATTTACGTTGCTGTCTCAATTTTTAGGTTTTCTTTTTTCTGTCTTTTTCCTTGTTTCCCGCGCCCCACTGGAGGCAAATGAGTTGGCTGTAGGGATGACGAGCTTTAAAACATGACTCTCGTCTGTCTCTGCTCCTTTTCATGCTACTTGGTTTATTTGACTACCCTAACGGCATCATATTTGCCTGCGATTGTGTGGAATAGGTCTACACGCAGCGAGGGGAACCAAAAAAAGTAGAGAGGGGTTAGGGTGGGTGGGTGTGCCATTTTCACTGCCAAGGAAATAACCTCATCATCGGCCTGAGGGCGCGGAACATTTTTTTTTCAAAGGTGAGGATGGGGGAATCGCATTTCAGTGAAGACGGCGTGTGGCTCCGGGATGCCGTGACGAGCATGCACTCCGCCGCGACCCAACGGATGCATCTACTGGAGGATCTCGCGAGACTTTGCAAGGCGCTTGCCTCGGATGTAAAACACATTTGCCTTCGAGAAAAAGTCAAAGGACTGGAAGAAGAGCTTAATTTTGAGGAGTATAGCCTCTCCGCACTGGAGACGCTGCGGCAGTTGAAACAGAAATCCTTCCAGAAAGGGGTCGACGGTGACAGACGTCATGCTATTTTTTCGCGTTATGACACTTCTTCGACCTCTGAGTGTGTGGGCTCCTCACCGGAGTCTGCGGGATTCCCTTTAGCGGGAGGAAACTCACGAAGCGATGGCAATTGCTTGACTGAAGTGTCAAGAGCCAATGTGGATTCGTATCTTAATAAGGAGCCGTTTCTTTGTTTGTCAGGGCAGGTTTCATCATCAAAAGGTGAGAAGAATGACCTGCTAATCGATGTAATTCATCGCCGTGACGCACTGCGGGATGAAGTGGCATCACTTAAGACCGAAAACGAACGTCTGGCGCTTTATCAGGACCATCTGAAGCGCAGTGTACACTTTTCAGCACATGCTGCTGCTGTTGTGGGTATGGAGCGGGATGTTTTTACAGCCCTGAGCGAGCTGTTCAGTGCACTGCTCGAGACCAGTGAGGACTGGCTCACATCTCTGCGGACGTCGGAAATTTCCTCCGAGACAAGGCAAGAAAACAATGACGCTTTCAGTGACACCGTCAGTTTGCAATCGACAGAGGAGGAGGAATTGCGGGGGAAGATTCGGCAGCATTGGGAGGCACAACGTGAGGCAGTGATGGCCCGGCGGGCAGCCACCATGTGGGCTCAGTCGACGCGGGTGGTGATGGCAACTCTCCGTCAGGAGCTTCATGAAATGCAGATGAACTACAAAAGGCAACGCGATGAGGGGTATCAACAGCAGTTGTTGTGGCTGCGTCTTGAGGCCGCAGTTATGAATGCGGAGTCGAAGTATTTGAATTTGCGGCTGCAGTACGTCAGGCGGTTCATGTCAGTTTTTCACCATGCCTCTTCCGATGGGAACGATGATGACGATGATTTTGCGAGAGAATTGCCTTCTGATGCTGCGTCGCAAAGGGATCGCATGAACAGGGCGTTTATGCGCCTGAGGTCTATTGTTGTAAACTACGAAATGGATCTTTGCAAGTTGAAGCAAATCAAACGTCTATTGAAGCGGTCTACCCCAGCGGGCTCCTTTTCCAGGGGGGAGCAGATGTTTAAGGAAAAGCATCAAGAAATCAAGACGGCTATTCTGCCATGTCTTGCCTCTAGTGAGGGGAAAGACGCATTTCACAGCGGTGTACAGCGCATCATGCCGTGGCCATTGAAAATGTCGAGGCTTAAGAGCTCATTCCCTTCGCATTGTGTGGAGTCCGTCCATAGTGCATTGCTGGCGCTTATTGTTCTTTGGGAGCACTTCACCCCTGTGGAGCAGCAACGGGTGTGCGCGGCGATAGGTGACATGGCAGTCAACGCCCACCTGCTTCTTATGATAGCGAAGTATGTAAAGTCACGACGCCGTCGCAGATAGTTTGCGCTGTCCTTTCATAATTCTTCCGCCATTCCCACAAACGAAAAGAAAACGCACGAAAACTTTTTTTTTCTAGCCAAATAAATGCCCCACGCATTATTTTGTATTGGTAAGGTCTGGTGAGGATGAACGGAGCGACATCCCATTTCTTTTTTAGCGTGTTTTGCGCGGGTTTTTCCTTTGGAAGCTTCGGAGGCCGCGCCGCGCCTATTATGTTTCCTTATTGCGCTTTTTAGCCGTCTGGCAGGACAATAATGATGTTCTTTTTTTTTTTTTTTCCATGGAGCTGGCATGAAGTGCTGCTGCATTCACATGTTTATCTTCTTTC